AAAGTAGCGAGCCGTTCGGCGACCGCAGCGCGGTCGTCACCAAAGCCCATGCATTTCAATTTACAAGATCCATTGTTTATTTTTGCATTATTTTAATTATATATTTACTGTCTTTTTACAGCTTCAGCTTGCTTTTTCTTCACGCATTTTTATCACCATCCCAATACAATTATTATTTTATAAAAAAAAATTTAAAAAATTATTCATGGCAGCACCAACCATGCACATATATAAATGCAAAAAACAGAAATTAAATATTAAAGAAAAAGTGCAAGAATGGAGACACACGCACACACCCCTCTTTTGCTTTCACAAGCAAACATCACTCACTCTTTCTCACCCTACGTTTGTTTTCGTAAGCCACTTGTGCTGGATTTCATAATTCTGTATTGTTTTTGGTTACTCATTAAAAAACACAGGTTTTGCCCCCTTCCCTATAAAATCAGATCAAAGAGAGAGAGCTCATGGCAAGTGCCAAGTGAAGTGGATAAACATAAATAATACGGGCGGGGGTGAGTTTCTAGCTCATAGTTCGACGTATAATATGCATTGATTATTACTTAATTCATGGTACCTTGTGTAGAAAACCAAAACGGTGTGGTTGAACATGGATAATGATTAATATTGGAGTGTGTTACTATTTCACATAAATTATAACAAGTAGTGAAAACTAAATATTGAATTTATACCTTTTTATATAATAATATTAATGAATATACACATGTACGCGATATATTAGCGTGTCACACCCCGCATGCATTAACCAGTTGTCGTTTTTATTCAATTTTAGAAAATGCTAGATAACCGAAACTTTTATTTATTTTGATTATTGTTGGAATTAAGACTTTTATAATCAATCATGGATAATGATTAATTTTGAACTATAAAGTTTGGTTTCATAGGGACCAACAATAAAGATTATAGGACCTGCCTTGAAAGATAGATCTCGCAACTAATTGCATAGGCAAGTCCACCTAAATTCTAATTTCTACAACTATTTTGATATTCAATAATATGGTTAGTAATAGTAAGTATATACTACACATATATTTACATCAATTTTATTGATGAAGTATTCACCCGTGCCACGTTAAATGGAGTACTATTTCGGTGTGACACTCACACCATTATGTGGTATAATACTATATATCATATGAATTAACATTACACGATGATATGACAGTAACACTCAAAAGTTTCTCCATTAAATAGCTTCGAGAAAACAATGGAAAGCACTCTCCAAGTTGAACCCGGTTCCAGACACCTAACAGAACTGATCACTCCCGACATTTGTGCTTCTTTCCTCTCTCTCTCTCTCTCTCTCTCTCTCTCTCTCTTCTCCCCTAACTCTTCTATTTATAGCAACACCCCACACTCCAAGTTCTACACCATCCTCTTTTCAAAACCCACCAAACACCAAGCCCCTTCTCATCAGTTTCCTCAATGAATTCCTTTCTCTCCCTAACAAAATAAATCCCACCAAAAAGACCAAACCTTTTCACTTCCAAAGCTCTCTCTCTCTCTCTCTCTCTCTCTCTCTCAAGTATCAAAGTATATTAGAGACACAAAACATAAAATCATTAAAGTGTGAAGAGATCGACTAAAACCATGAATGCTTTTGAACCGCAGAGACAAGACTCCCTGAAAAGGAGGTGGCAGGAGGAGAGGAGGCAGCAACTTGGTGGTGGTGGTGGTGCAATTACTCCATCTTCTTCTCAGTTGATCAGAAACCCTAACGGTGCTAGTCTCCACAACTTCCCGGGACTTCTTGATGATGATCTCGTTTCCACGATGGTCCCTCCGGTCACCGTCGTTCTTGAAGGCCGTTCTATCTGCCAGCGTATTAGTCTCCAGAAGCATGCAAGTTACCAAAGTCTTGCCATGGCCCTACGCCAAATGTTCGTGGATGGTAGCGATGTGGGGGCTGTTAATGACAAGGACCTTGATCTTTCAAATGCTGTTCCTGGTCATGTGATTGCTTATGAAGACATGGAAAATGATCTTCTTCTTGCCGGTGACCTTAATTGGAAGTGAGTTCTAATAGTACTCTCTCTTTCTTTTGCATTTAATTTGACAAATTCATAAATGATACAAAGTTTTAAGGTCATGATACGAGAGTAATTTTCTTCTATCTAACATATTATGTAGTTAGACTGTGAATTTGAATCACACATTTCGACAATAATTTACTTTAATCGATGATTCCGATTATTAACATCCTACTTGTGTTGCTCTTAATTTGATTCTCTCTAATGATCTATTTATGCGTGCGTGTGGATGTTATAGGGATTTTGTGCGCGTTGCCAAGAGAATTCGGATACTACCAGCCAAGGGAAATTCAAGGAGAGGGAGAAGGGGTGCATAGCTAGCGTATGCTGGAATTTGGCATTTTGCAGACGGTGTTGGCAAGAAAGTCAAGGAAGTTATATATACAAGTCATAAACGAGAAACTTGTGTCTCATGGAAACATGGATTTTAATGTCATATATAGCTAGCTACTTCTTGGAATCATATGTATTTTTCCCAATGAAATGTAAAGCAGGCTCACTTATTTCCTTATAATTTTATGAATAAAAAACCTTTTTCTCATATAGATTGTCTCACATCCTTGAATTTTCTTCCTTGTTCCATCCGGCTATGTGTTTTGTGTTCACTTTAATTTCCCCAGCTTGAAGAAACACACCGACATAGCTAGTTTGATAGAAAGCTAGCTTCAAGGAGAAACTACTTTCTCCTTTTTGAAGCTAGGTTCGATCTGATCTAGGTACATTACCAGCATGGCACAAAATTGACTAACTAGTTAGAGATTCATAATACGCAAGCACGTTCCTCCATGGGATATTAATTAAGGGCCTGTGCTCGTTTGATAACCATTTCAGTTTTTAGTTTTTAGTTTTCATTTTTAAGAAATTGAAAACAGAAAACGTGTTTGGTAACCAATTTTAGTTTTCAAAAAAAAAATTGAAAACTAAAGTTGTTTGGTAACTCTTTTCAGTTATCAGTTTTCAGTTTTATGTGGAACTTGGAAATAAAAAAAATTTGGGGTCAAATTGTGAATTTGATATCATAGAATGAAAGTGCATGTTACAAAGTGTTTGTAGGTTTTTTTTTTATTTTTTATTTTTTATTTTTTATTTTTTATTTTTATGTGATTTGTTTGGAGTTAGGGTGATTTTTTTGGGTGAATTTTGGATCTGCAGGTCCCCAGGCTTGGACTGGGTCTATAGTCAAATGCAACAATCGAGCAGACAAGTCCAAGTTGGAGGGTCCCAAATACCGAGTTTCAATAACTGGAGTGCAATGCATGTGCAGTGATGTAAAATTGGTGAATCATAAAGGATTGCAAAATAATGAAAATAAAAATTGAAAAGACTTTCAAGTTGTTTAAAAAAATTAAGGGTGATTTTGAAAACTAGATTTCACTTTTTTGAAAACTTTAAACAAAATCTGTTACCAAACATGTTTTTAGTTTCTCAGTTTTCAAAAAAAGTGAAATCTAGTTTTCAAAAGTGAAAGGGAGGAGTAACAAAAGTGAAAACAATTTGAAATAGATTTCAGTTTTTAGTTTTTATTTTCACTTTTGTTACTCCTCTCTCTCATTCTCTCCTCTCAATCTCATCCTCCACTCTCATTCTCACTTGTATTCTCCCTCTTTTACCTTTATACTCTAGTATAAAAAATAAAAAATAAAAACTAAAATTGAAATATGGTTATCAAACGGCCCTAAGTAATCTCTTTTGCAAAAACCCTATCCACAAAGTAAAATATTCTTTCTCTGAGACCCAAAGGAAAAGACCAAGGAGGAAGAAGAAGAGCCTATGCTTTCCCTTCTCTCCCATCCTCTTCTTTACCTTGTTTTGGGTTAGTGAATAACAAGTGCCCTTATTTAATAGCAAGCCCTTGTGGTTATTTAGTGCGATCCATGCTCAGATCTCAATGGCATTGGAGGCATCTAGGGTTTTCACAATGTAATAGCGTAATTTGTTTGTGAGGTTAAATAAAATTGGGTTTTTTTCTTTATGGTTGATGTACGTATAATTGAAGATCAATTTCTTCATCAACATATATACCTTCTGGATATGTACTTTCATAAGAAGCTAGCTGTATAAAACTTGCATACCCTTTGTCCTTAATTTGTCTTAAATTCTAAATTAAACTATAATGAAATAAATTACGTCATTAATTAGTTTTTATTTGTTACTGATTAATGTGAATTCAAGACCGGAAAAACTTTAAGCTTACAGTACGATATTTATGCTTAATATAGTCATTGGATATAGTCATTGGATAAAAAATAAAAAATAAAAAAAAGGTAATATAGTCATAAGACACTTAACAAGCAAGCTCTCAATAGATGGTTCCTCACAGCCACACATGGCTAGCTTTTTGTTTGAAGATGTCTCAAATTTGAATCCCCTTAAACCCTCAATCTGATTAAAAAATTAATTAAAATATGTAGTTCATTGGTGGATTATATTGATTGATATAATTAAAAAATTAAACAAACTTTGTTTTACATTCCTATGCAAACCAAACATGTGAAATAAAATAAAGTGGTATTTCCTAGTTACTTTCCCAGCATTACCAAACATCTTTCATTTCTCATTCTTTGAGAAAGACATGAGAAATTATTTCTCATCAAATTTTTTTCGCGAACTAAACGGAGCTTTAAGGTGTAGGGTTTGATTATGCCGGACATTTCTTTTTTGGCGGCCCCAACACACAGAAAAATTTGTAGTTAGTATCTACCTAGATTGAACCTCGCTAATTAAATAAAGTAACATCAACTGTAGACAAAAAGTAAAGTAGGTACAAGTAGCCTTTCCACATTGTACTCTATTTAAATTTGTCAGTTGTCTGGTCCTAAATACCATTATACAGTATAATTAGCACTTCATTCTATTATGGGCTCGTTTGGTACACAGGACTGTCTTGGCATGGACTATACTTAAGGACTGTCTTGGCTTGGTTTGGCTTGGTCTAAGTTGGATAACACTTATCCTGCGTTTGGTGTACGCTTGGACTAGGACTATATATATATATATATACATGTATATATATATTATAAAATACATATATATATATATTATATTATAAAATACATATATATATATATATGTATATATATATATATGTATATATATATATGTATGTATTATACCCATGTATATATGTATATTATATATATATACACATAAATTATACATATATAATATATATGTGTATATAGGTGTATATATGTATATTATAATATATACATGGGTATAATACCCATGTATATA